ATGAACGATTTCAATTATTTCATGACAGAAATACCAAGAAAAGCAAGTTTACACAATGATTATATGTGGGATATTAACACATTTAGGTGATCATGGGGCTATATTTTTTTTTGGTATTTTATCATAGCTAATCTTAACTGAAATCCATGTTTTTTTCCCGCTAAAATTTGTCTTATCCAATCATCACATTTTTTTTTCTTATCGTTTTTCGTTTTTCCGACTCCGGTGTTGGAAGTTTTCTCTCTGTTTGTAAGTCATACGCTCTGCTTTTGTCACCAATAACCGCTCAGAAGACATCAAAATATGTGATGACTACTAGTACAAAGCACTGCTTCAGGTGTTTCGATCGTAATAAATCGCGTTTCGCGCGTATTTTTAAACTCCAACTACGTCGCAAATKTCGATTMHAWTGCACTCAAAYTTTCRCMGAAGTHACAGTGATTATCGATAATTCTTGTCGATAAATTAATTTGCCAAAAAGCGAAGCCATTTGGATAAACGATGCAAAATAAAAACACCTTCATTTTTCTTCAAAATTAATTTTCTCGAAACTCATCGCAGAGATTGTAATGAAATTTTCAGAATCACTTTTTAATAACATAATTGATATACTGACGAAGTTTCAATGAAATCTTAACCTAAAATTTCGAGTTGTTCGAATGTACATCATTTTGCTCAAACAACTCGAAAGTTTAGGTTAAGATTTCATTGAAACTTCGTCAGTATATCAATTATGTTATTAAAAAGTGATTCTGAAAATTTTATTACAATCTCTGCGATGAGTTTCGAGAAAATTAATTTTGAAAAAAAATGAAGGTGTTTTTATTTTGCATCGTTTATCCAAATAGCTTCGCTTTTTGGCAAATTAATTTATCGACAAGAATTATCGATAATCACTGTTACTTCTGTGAAAATTTGAATAGCGAAGCGCTATTTATTACGATCGAAACACGTTCAATGGTACCTCGGCCATCTTTGCAGTGGCGAAAATCCACGTTTCCTGTAAAATAATTAAGTCTTTATACGAAATGCCTGCCGCACGTTAGCTAAATTTTTCAAACTGTGTAAAAATGTAGCAAATTCAAATAAAAATCCGTGGATACGTGATTTTTTGTTTTCAAAAGTGCATATTTTACATACAAATGTATGGTTGGGGGTATGGCCTGTCCCATCATGTGGTCTTGTGTTTTACTGTCCAGTTAATTTTAGAAACTTTATTTTTAAAAACGGCCTAGCGAAATCACTTGTCGCCATATCAACAAAGAAGGACTCCAAAGTACTTGCATGTCAAATTCTCAGATTAACCATTTTGGAAACATTTCGTTTCCGTTTTATTTCGATCAAAATAAAGTAGAAACTTTTAATTGATCGATTTCTACTTTTTTGACTTTTTTCAATTTTTTTTTTTTCTGCGCTTTTTTTAAATTGTCACTTCTTGTCTTAAGGTTTCATCGGGCTGTCAGCAATATTTTCATAAAAGTTAATTAAAGTTTTCGAAAGTTATGTATATATGTTATATCTCGTGCGTGCTTTTGAATAGTACATGCTTGTCTAACTTTCAACACACCGACAAGGATTCTTTCTATTGTTTCTAAACAAAGTCATATTGAATATTCTATTGTATTTTGGCGCGATTCCTAGAGCGTCGTGCTGTCTCTAATGCTTTTGTATAGACATTGTCTTAACAAACATTTCTTCAGAACATCAGTTGCTACAGTTATAAATGATGTTGTGTTTCTTTTGAATAATACTTGCTGTTAGAACGACAGAGGAAATCTATTTGAGAGGGTGTCGTTTTATATACAAGCTACATTGCTTCTCCGAGGTATGTCCCACACTTTTCATAGCACAATCAGTTCACGAAATTGTCGAAGTTGAATACCTTACAGAGCGATATAGAGGTCTAGATGTTATATATTAAGTCCGAAAAAGAAAACAAAAAATGTTACCTCCAAGGGATGACAAGGGGCGTTTCAAAACGAATAGTGACAACTGGACTATAAAGCACTGTCTAGAATCGTGGATTACTAAAAGAACTTTTAGTTACTTTTTGTCTGCGTTTGCGACAAAACAATTTGATATTTTGTTTGAAACTAACCTGCTTTGACGAGCATTTTACCTCGCATTTTTTATGAATACTTTTGAAAAATATTTTAATTAGTAGTTTGTCCATACATTTTTTGCTAAAATTTGACCGATAGATTTTTTCACATTAAAGATCGATAGCTAATAGGATAGAGTTCGGAATTTTATGCCAATCAAATAAGGCGAACACATTTTATTCGGGTTTTTATAAAGCACGTTCGTGATTGCATCGTGGTGATCGAATATCGTACGACGATCGTCGCGCGTAGCAACAAAATAACAACACAGGCGTCCCAAATCGTCACGTTTCCGTGCGCCCGTGGGCCCAGCGTGTTTTCATGTATATGGTAACTTAGGTGACATTGGGAGTGATTCGGCTTAAAATTCGTGTTTTTCACCTGCAGCATGAAGATAAAACATCTATTCTTTTCCCTGCTGACCTTGGTTGGACCCGTCTGCGGTTTATCTTCGTCCGCTGAGCCAGTAGAATCCAACAATCACCAGCGTTGTAAAACCGGAAGACATTTCTTTAATGACCATGCCCTTGTGTCAAGCTCTTACAAGACGACAACGGCCCCTAATTTTGGTACATGCTATGCACACTGCATGGGCGACAAGGAATGCTGCAGCATTAATTACAAGAAAACCACCAAGATTTGCCAGCGTAACAATATTACCAAGACCAAACGTCCATGCAATTTTAGATCACAAATACAGACGATCTACGCTGAGGTCAGAGATTCACCAGGTACATCACTAGCACAAATTAATGAGATTTATTCATTCATTCTTCATATGGAATTAAAACATGTGCACAATGTACCTTTATAGTTTCATAATACATGTATTTTGTAATATTTCCAGCGAATAAACAGTATTTCTTTCTGGCAGAAATATATCTAGTCTCTTTTCGTGATTTTTGCTCTGACTAGAGATCTTTAAAAGTGACTTGTTTAGGCTTGTAAGAGACAATAGAGATATTTGATCCTTTTTTTAATAGGTTCTGGCTGTCAGTAATAAGGTGCAAATGCTTCATTTTAATTGTTTTGATGTTCGGATGTTCGAACATAGGCCACCCAACTATTGCTTGGAAGAAAGCCGAAAGAACGAATCCGTACGCTTTTATGTTATCGGGGCGCGCTCTTAGCAAAATTCGGGTAACATGACCACAGGTAATCCACAAAGCGCGCGCGCCGATACGATAGACTAGCTGCGCACCTCGTTTCCTCTAGCAATAGTTGGGCGGCCTATGGTTCAAACACCTGGATTGTATGTAGTTGTATAAGTTTAAGGTTAGATTATATGCGGTTATTAAACGCTTCTTGCTCTTGCAAGTGCTGCGACTAACGTCTTTGAGAATCAATTAGTAACAAACTCATCTAACAGGCTAATGGCAAGGAAATATTAACATTTTAACAAAAATTACTGAAAAATTCAAATAAAATTGATCCCTTTTATATGCCCTCGATTTCTCTCAAAAGGAAATCGCACTTCCAAGAGTTATAATATCAAAATTTCCTGGGGGAGGTCCAGACTGCCTTTAATGCTCCCGCCTTATGCGGTCGTTATACCCCCAGATCCAAAATACGTGTCGCGGTCCCTGACATTTGGCGTATATGTACTAGCCAAAACGTCCACGCTACGCGCCTGTCTAGGATTATTAGACAATAAAGCATTTCCATGCAGACAAGGGGTCTGTAAGGACTCTCTACTAGCAACAGTTTTGTCAGTTAATAAAGCGTTTCTAGACAATTTAATGGATTTAATTTTTAGGCTAGGGACTCTCTAGCAACTTCTTGTTTCTAAATGTGTCATTAAAATGACAGAGAAAGCAAGGGCCATTTTAGTCCCCGTTGCTTTTGTAAATCATAGAAAGCATTCCTTCATTGATTCTCCATTGGTTTACATGTTCACAATAACTTTAATCCATAGAAAAAGAGGTCATGACTACCCCTAGTCAAAGCTACGAGACAACGAAATTGGAAGTAACTACAAGTGCACCGTCGTCAGTAAATATTAATCCCAAAGATGGAGGGGGAAGTTCGGGGTCAGCATCGTATAAGTCTTGCAGGGAAATCCGAAACTCAAAACCTGGTTCTCCATCCGGGATCTACCGAATTGAGATCGATCATCAAAACATCTTCGAAGTCTTCTGCGACATGGTCACCGACGGAGGAGGCTGGACTCTAGTCTACAGCTATTCATTTACAAATCCGTCTCATTTCAACGATCCGTCTAATGCCGTAACGCCTATCCCGACATGGCCAGTATCTAGGTCATTGACAATGACTCCAACGTCGACCAAAGTCCCACTGAAAGAGACCGCCMACTCAGCCATGGAATTCTCGCTGTGGAAAARAATTGGAAGGGTGTTYCTAGTTAAGTCCGACATCACTCACTGGGTTTCTTGCTCACCGAAARGTGGTCAACTCGTAGAGATGAARCCAGGTGAAATCTCCTGCGAGGTCGTCAAAAATGTCACCACAGACTGTCTTGGCTACGCACCGACAATGTTTGGTAAAGGCGAYTGTGGCCCGTATCTTGAAAGAAACAGCAAAACTTCCATTGCTTTTTTCGGCTGCACTAAAGAACAATAYCCAGTTCATCATCCATGTGGCSWATYGGKAGCATCAAATMACATGACTAATATCGCTTCTCCTAGTGGCTCACTCTTCATCAGATAAGATCGAGAGGATAAAAAAGTAGACTGTGTACTACTYAATGGTATTCACAGATTAATAACTGCATTAGAAAATAAACACCGAATTATTGCCTCACCGACAAYCAATCCACTGCATATAGAATGCACGGACTCAAAATGGTTTCCGGACTGAGAYCCTGGCCAATTAAATACGAAACTCTGYTCAGTATCCAGTAACATCCAATATGCCTTGTTAGGCGATTCATGCAACATTGTTGGATCATCAAACTAACAGCACCTCACGTCTTGATCATAAAACAAAGATCAAATAAAGAAAGCGCGTTGGCTCCAAGACGAATTTCATCCAGCTTGCATTGTTTGATGATTARAATGGCCCGAGAACCTCTTCTAAGAGCAGGCGATCACAAACGTAAATAGGCCTTTAATGTAACAACATCTAATCTCATTAAACAYTTTACATTGCAACCAAACGTCTAAATACTGTATTGGTCTGAAGCTCTCTGAGCTGTTGGATGTGTTGGGCAGGGTGGTTACAAACATCATTGGTCTTTTGGACCAAGTAGATAGACTTTTAAGGCAAAATAGACGACGAYGKTTCCTGTACAATGCGACACCATGACCAACTTTATTAACCATGTAATAGAAAGACAAACACAAATTACAATTAAAAGCACTTTCACAGTTACATTATTATTGTTGTTTTTGTTGCCGTTGTCGTTTCTCCTCGATATGAGCCAGCGCACGTTGGGCAGCTGTCGATCTAGCAATTTTGAGATTTCTTCCGGTTCCTTTGAATTTTCCAAATCCTTTCACAGAAACATGGCATGAATAACGTCCAGTGATAGTCAATTCGCAAGATCTGCAATGCAAAAATGTTGTTAGTGTAATGTTTACCACATTACTAATAAATATAAATGAACTGATTAATTACTTAAATGTCTTGCACTCTTATGACATCATGTTGATTTGGACAGGTGCATTATCGTATCGATAAAAGTATAAAGATGACGGATACTTTACAAAAGTAGAGAGGACGGCATTTGTATTGTACGCGCACAATAGACGTAGTGCTTGTTGACAAAACAGCCTGTTATGCTACGCTACATACAACAACATTATACAACAATATTATACAAGAACGAATGGGGGTTGTCCAATACTCTCGATCGGTAAAATTCTAATGATTATATTTACAGTCCAATAATTAAAATAAGAGAAAACTTACGTAAAGCTCACATCGTTTTTGAACATTTCCTTTAATTGCCTAATGGGGGATGATGGAGGATGATCTTCATAATGATCTGCGATGAAAGACAACGATGATGAAATCACATATCATCCTAAACAGAAGTACATAACCAGAAGTGTCCATCTCCCCATTGGTATCGCCACCATCAGATGTCCCGATAATCTATTTTTAGACAACCAATCACAACGSGCGCACATATTACACGGCACCTGATTGGTCCTTGTTGATCTACTTCAAGAGCGGACAAGAAAGGAAAATTATGTAGTCGATGGAGGCGAACGAAGTGAAGTTTTCATTTACGAGAATTTTACACCTTTTGCTGAACAACCATTTTTGAATTCGATAGAAAACATTCTTTAMTATATAAGCAATGTAGCGAAGGAAGTTCAAGAGCAATATAGTCTGCAAAAACAAGAGAAAAGTTCAGACAAAGACGAAGAAAAATGTAAAACAGCGTGCTAAGAAAAGTAGTGTAAAGTAGCTTCCTTACAGTCAAATAGAGCTGAAAGGTAAAGTAATTTTCGACTCTTAACGTGAGATGGAAAAGCTGTAAATTTTCAGGTAGGCKGGGTTTGTTTTGAAATTCAAGTTAGTTATCGATATTTCTTTGATGACTTTTTTTGTTTGTGGCGTTTCATAACTCTTATCTTGTTYATTGTTGACTTAAAATTCGACATGATYTCGTTATTAATACCCTCTGTACCTATTCGCTAGTTTGTTTATTCCTCGCTTTTTCTTTCAAAGAACAATCATTTTTTCAACTCCTTACACAATGAAGAGTTCACAATATAWGCTTAATATCATCATTTTKCTAAAAGAGTTTTTGATTGAGTTTTTGTGACATTCATTGATACGTTTCGCACTCGGGTTTTGYATTAGTTTTCCCCTTTTTATAAAGCTTTTTAGATCCTAAAATACTTTACTACAATTCTATGTATAGTCTAACGTTTAATTCTATTAGAACAGATTTCTTATTAAAACGAGAACAATTCTCGCCACAAAAATCACAWTTTTGCAGACATTTCTTCGCACTCCTTTTGTCTGCATATTTTTCTTCGTTTTTGTCTGAACTTTTCCCTTGTTTTCGCAGACCATATTGCTCTTGAACTGCCTTCGCTACATTGCTCATAGAGTAAAGTATGTTGTCTATCAAATTACTTAACCTTTGGTTTTCTTTAAAGTCCGACTCTATTGACTGTAAGAAAGCTACTTTAGACTACTTTTTTCGCACGCTGTTTTGCATTTTTCTTCATCTTTGTCTGAACTTTTCTCTTGTCTTGAAGTAGATCAACAAGGACCGGCCAATCAGGTGCCGTGTAATATGTGCGCGCGCTGTGATTGGTTGTCTAAAAATAGATTATCGGGACATCTGATGGTGGCGATACCAATGGGGAGATGGACACTTCTGGTTATGTACTTCTGATCCTAAACTATCCAAAGTGGAGGAGTTGATATATTTTTTTTCCACTACGGAACTTGAACGTTAAATTACGACTATTCTACCTTGGTAACCAGTTTTAATTAAAAACAAAGGGCAAATACCATTATTAAAAATTAAATTTAGAACCGTTAAAATCTTGCCGGTTTAACTTAAGGCACTCATAGTTAGTACTTAACAGCATACTCGTTTTCAAAACCAGATCACTGGCATTCCGGGATAGAGGGGAAAGAGGGATGTGAGGCCGATATCATCAAGCTACCACCCTGGGTATCATCGCTTCATAAAAATGTTGCCGGTTTTACTTAAAGCACTTGTAATGAAGGCATAATGTT